CAGCCCTCAATCGCCACCACTTTCTCTGGTATCTTCCGTCTAAATCGGTATCTCAACCAAATCGCCGCGGAAGCTCCACCAGTTTCATCCGCCTTTGTGTTCCTAGCGACTCTGTCGCCCAGGTGAAACGACATGCAGCCCTTACGTGGAAATGGCAGCTTGATGAAAACATCGACCCCCGCTCCCAACAACATCCCGACGCAACGAAAGCAGCTTGAATTCACTATCTCCGCACCAAGCGGGAGGCCCGCTGCACACATGAACGAGCGCCAAAAATTCTTGCACGCAGCATGGATGCACTACTGAGCCCACTTGTCAACTCTACTAACGCAGACATCCTCCAATCTACCGCGGACCGTCTCCAGAAGGCTTACCAAGCAAAGCACGATAAAAACTTCTTCGCACTTAACCCGCGAATCCCGGTAAACGCCAAAGAATCAGCGCGTGCGGAACCCGGACGACTTCATATACCAACGGTCTCCCCGGCACAATCATCCGACACGATGGATAGCAATACGCAGCCTCAGCTTTCCACGACGGACTCTTCGACGACAGACAATGATATAGAAATGGCTGACATCGTCAAAGAGGAGAGCCCAGTAGTATTGACCGATGATGAACAATGTTAGGCCCAATGAGGATGACGCTCTTCAACCCACAAGGACTCAACATGGACAACGCAGCACATACAAATAAGTGTTTGAACGTTATATCGATTTTAAGTCAGGTTGATGTTATGTGTGTGGTTGAAACCTGGCATAACACCACATTTCTTAATCATATACGCTCGAACACACACTACCATATCCTACACCACACTACACTGTACCATACATACTTGCCATTTTTGAAATGAATAATATTATCCCTACACCCGTCCCTGCATCTTCCACCGGTATCCCACCGGTACCTACTGCTATACCCTTACCCTCTACCATACCCCCTGTAACCACCCATATTCACATCACCCCCGTTATACCCCCAGTGCCTATCCCCATAGCACTGCCTCCCGTTATACCCCCAATGCCTACCCCGTAGTACTGCCCCCTGCCGCCCCCCCCCCCCCCTCCTCCCACTGTTCCTACTGTGTTACCCACTGCGTCTACCCCCGCTGGTACCTGCCACCACTACGCCATCCCATACGGTTGTCCCACCGATGCCTTCCCCAGTACCTCTACCGGCCACATCCACTTACTTAATCCCCCCTCTGCCCTCCCCCATTACCCCAACCTATTCCATTCAACCACCACCTCAACCAGTCACAATTAATAACCCATCCGAAATTGACGACACCACGCAAGACTTCGGGTTTGAACCGAACCTTGCCGCGTTCTACATACCGCCGCCCACCAATGTTTTTGACCCCGGCTCGGGCGCCGATTTTTCTAACTCATTTACACTGCGCCTCCTCCAACCCAAACCGCCGTGACCTCCTCCGCCGTATGATCATTTTTCAATGACGTCGACTGGCACATCGCACCCAACAACTGACTCAACGTGTTCAATCCCTTGCCCCTACTGCCCGCCCCGAGTTCTCTCTGACCGATGCTGTCGCTGTCCTCGATGATACGGTTCCCAAAATCATCTCCAAGGCTCAATCGAGTGTCGAATGGCCACAACGGTCTCAAGCCATTGTTCGCAAACGTGCTGCACACGATCGCAACAAACTCGCTGACATAAAACCCCTGCAT